AGAGATTAATGCCTGAGGTTTTTCAGAGAAGGGGGGATTCTGATGTTTCCAATTGTAAAGATCACTAGTTGTAAAAGGGACATAAATCAATCCTCCCCTGGGCTCTGTCTATTTTAAAGGAAAAAGGGAGGAGGAAGATGGGGCTGATGGACCATAGCCCTGTCCCGATTGAGTGCCAAAGGTTGATTGGGACCTGTGAGGCCCCAACTGCTGTGACCACATTTCAAACCTTGCGAGCAATGTACATAGAATAAGTTCCCACCGGGGGCCAACTGACTCTGAAACTTGGCCATTCTGATTGACACAGAGTTTGCAATTTGCCTTTAGAAAATTTCATGTCATATTTATCTTTTCTGTCTGTGGAATAATTTTTTGAAGTTATTCAAAACACAATCAAGTGGAGTTCCTTCTGTGGACTGTGAGGAACCCATAATTTCAGCCTGTGAAAACACAAAAGGCACACAAAGCAAGCAGACAGACAACAATAAACAGACAAAAACAGACTTTGGCCACATAAACCTCTGGGGCTGAATGGATTCAGACCCCACCCAGGGAGTCACTCTTCTGAGGACTCCGACCCAGTTGAGCCTGCTAGCCGTCACGAACAGGCTCTAGGTAGGGGAACCTGCGCCATGTCTGGCTTCCTCCCACCTACCCACAGTGCACTAAGAATCCTTCAATTTTTACCTCTAGAGGCATCCCCAATAAACTCCAGTGGGTTGGTTGATTGATAGGGCCTGACTGGGACTGGCCTACCTGGAGCCCCGGAATACCATCAGGGTGGCCTCTCCTTCCTCAGACCACTGGCCAAAGGGGCCAAACACCGCCGATGTCCGATTCTGGTCTCTCCTAAAAAGAAACAAAGGCTCCAAGATAATAAGCTCCAGAGCAGCTGGCTATCTCACTGGGGCCTCCAAGAATGTTGCACCCAGTGAGAGAGAATCAACCAGAGACCGATATTAAATCCACACAGGAGTTCATTACCGGCTGGGACCCGAGCCGAGCATCAGACTTGAGCCTCGACTGGGGGTTGACAAACATGTTTTATACACCTTTGTGGCCAACAGTTTCTAGGCCCCACTATGAGATAGAACTAGTAAAGCAAGCAAAAGGTACAGAAGCAGAACGTCCTGCTGTTAGAACATTTGTGAAACAATAGTTGATTAATTGTTGTTTCTAAGAGACTCTCTAAGGGGAGGAGGTTTCTAAGCTTCCTCCTTTTGAATTCATCTAAAAGGTAGGCAGGTGGGTCAAGCAGCAATATGGAGTCTGTCTTGCTAACTAGGGTCTTTCAGTTTGTTTATAGATGCTAAATGCAAGCAGTCATCATTAAATTTCCCATTTTTCCAATAATATTTTATATACAGTCACTAAATTTCTTACATCTCACAAGTGGTAAATTAGGATAATCTAATAGATCTATGCTGCATATTACTTTAACAGTTCTACTGTGGACTATCTATACTCTCAAGTTCAAGAAACCAAGTCAAAATACTAGTAAGTAATGTATCATATCATAAATGTGGAATGTCATATAGGTTCAAAACAAAACTGATTACCAGAAGCTAAAAAGAGTAAGGAAAATGAAGAGATAAGGAAAAACTAGTCAATGAGCTCTGACTTACAGTAAGATAAAAGCAGTAAGTTCTGCGGTTCTAGCTGCCATTCCACACTCCTGGGGAAGAGAAGGTGAGCCAATCCCAGCACCTGGAAGGAGGATCCCCTGCCGCCATTCCACGCTTCCTGGGCAGAGAAGGTGAGCCAGTCCCAGCACCCAGAAGGAGGCTCCCCTGCTGCCATTCCACACTCCTGGGGCAGAGAAGATGAGCCAGTCCCAGCACCCAGAAGGAGG